CTCTCTCTCTCTCTCTCTCTCTCTCTCTCTCTCTCTGTCTCACACACACACACACACACACACACACACACACACACACACACACACACACACACACACACGCACACACACATGGGAAAAAAGGAAAACCAGGAACAAAACAAAACAAAACGAAACAAACAGCTTCCCCCACCCCCTATTTTTAACCCCACAAAACAACTGTTATCACGTATAAATAAACGTACCTCTTGTCCCAAAACAAAACACATAGATCTAGACCACCTACGTATTTAATTTTTTTTTTTTTTTTTTGCTTAGCGGCTTACTTACCATCACAGCTCAAAAGTCAAGTCTTTGCCTTATCCCCAGTGACTGATGTGTTTTGGATTTTAGAGAAAAAGATTTAAACCCCAGCCTGTCGCGGTGCCAGCCTAAGATAGCGCACAGCTGTGTCGTCTTTATTGCTGATCTCAATGTCCAAATCGTTCATCCTAAATCCGAGAGTTGCGTTTGGGAGATTAGGAACTGCAGGCACTTTAAGCCAATAGAGTCCACGATAAAGCCTTACAGAGCGAAGAGGTGGGTGGTTGGAGGGCGCCACTGGTCGGTCGGTCCTACTGCTTTCATTCTTTCTTTTTTTCCCTCTTTCGTTGTTTCAGTCTGTCAGTCTTGCTTTTCCCCATTTAACCTACATTTGGCCACTTATCAGGAAATTTTCATCGAATTGTCTTTGATTTAAAGCTCCAGGCCTTTTACGTCCATTAAAACATAATTTGTGAGGCAGCGTGGTGGAATCAGGCTCTCGTCAAAATAATCAAAGTGAAGAAACTTGCATTTCTCCGCAGGTTTGTGAATTTTTATCAAATTTTTGTTCTTTGGCTCAACACCTTTCATGCCCATTAAAGAACTCATTTCTGTCTGGATTTTTCTTAAAACGTTTTTTAAAGGCATAAAAAATTTAATTTTTCAGTTACCACGGACTCTTTAGCTGAGGAAATAACTAATCTTTGGTGGCCATTTTCTCTTTAATTATTCCTCCAAAAACAAGCGACCCCCACCTCCTGCTTTTGCAAATATCTCGACTTGTATTCGAGATAAATAGATATTTTTTTCGACCAAATAAAGACAAGCTTTAATATAATACCTATAACTCTACACGTCCAAAAGTTGACGAGAGCCTGATTCCACCACGCTGCCTCACATAATTATGAGTGGAGGTTACCGAAAATAGTTGATCGAAGGCACCACAAATCTTCTTATATTTTTTAAAATAGTGAATTTGCAGTTTCCGTAGACACCACGGCTTTGGAACTCAACAAACTGTAACGGTCATTTTTTTTTCTCCAGTATTATTACTTCTGACACCAGGGGACCTTCAACTCCTTCAATAGCAGTAATTTCGACTTCTTATTCAATATGGACGATTTATTTTCCTCAAAAAGCAAGGCAAATGAACAGGCTTTAAGGTTGTACCAGTAAATCGATCTGCCCCAAAATAAATGAGCAAGGCAAATGAACAGATTTTAAGACTATTTCGATAACTTTTCTGGAGGTGCCATCTTAAACTCAGAGGTTGACGTGGAATGACCCTCCATCCTTCACGGTCATGAGCTGCCTGCACATTCTGCTAGGTCTATATCCAGACCAGTCCATGTTTTTATGTTGTCCATCCATGTTGCTCTTTGTCTACCCTTGGCTCTCCTGTCTCACATCCTTCCTTCAAGCACCTATTTCAAAAACTCTGTATACGCCCCCAAAAATTGACGAGCGCCTGATTCCGCCATGTTGTGACACATGTCAGTAGCCTGAACACCGTACCTCACCACAGAGGGCAGTATGATGACCGTGATTCATCCTTGCACTGTTCTGTGACTTTTCATTTAATAAAATGTGTATGAATTTATTAATATTATTATCAAGATCAAGACAACAGAATTCGTAATAGCTTTTGGGTCTTTGATTATAGTCTTACAGGGGTAATTTTACAAGTGTGATTGCCACTTCACAGAAGCCAGTACACCCACAGTGATTCACCCTTGTACTGTGTCAGTGAGGTGTGCTGACAAAATGGGTGAATTCTCAGATTTTTACCCTGTGGATCAAGATGAATATGTAAAATTTATAGGCTGTTTTTTTGAAATTGTATGAGTAAAGAAAAGCACATCGACATAATAATGGTCATTTAGTGCCAGAAAAAGTAAGACAGACAGACAGACAGACAGACAGACAGACAGACAGACAGACAGACAGACAGACAGAAATAAAAGAGGGAAAGTAAGGAAGTAGGACCTACCAGAGGTATATTTTTGTTTGTTTTGAGTAAAGAGAAGAACATGAACTCTATAATGGTCTTGTAGTTGCTTGAAAAAGTAAGACAGACAGACGGAAATAAAAGAGTGAAAGTAAAGAATTAGGATCTATCAGTTGCGCCTTCCAACTACCCTCATAATTTATAGGTTGGGTATGTACGATTTATTTTATAAAATGATAAAAAGTCAATGTAATGTTGAAGAAAATGGCATCAGTTGAAAGTACACAAATTTGATGTGCCTATTTTCGGCAGATATCTTCATTCGTGGATTGTGAGAGGTAACTCATTTTGTCAGCACGCCTCACCAGAACATTATCTGAAATATAAATATATTTATACTATCAAGATCATGACATGAGGTCGGTAGCCTAGTGGTTAGGCTACCGGACTTATAATCGTGAGATTGCGGGTTCGGGGGTTCGAGCCTCAGCTTGGTCCGACGTTGTGTATTTGAGAAAGGCACTTTACAACAATTTTCCACTTGGCTCTGTCCTTTCGGAGATGGACGTTAAACTCGGAGGTCCTGCCTCTTAAATAACCCGGCAGTGTTGATGAGGACGTTAAGCCTGTACCGTTTCACTATTTTTATTATTTGCAATATCAAGACATCAGAAGTCCTAGTTAATAGCTTTGAGTCTCTGATGATAGTCCTACGAGGCTATTTTATTATCCTTGTAGTGTTTCATTTCAGTTTCATTATATCTTTTCTAAAATGTGGTTGATTTTACGCCTTCCATCGACACAGTTTGAATCAAAATTTAGGAAACGGGATTCGGACCCTGCCTGTCAGGGCCAACCCGGACTGAGAGAGATACAACATTCCAGCAGAAAGACTAATGAGATACTCGATAAAAAAATTTCTCCCCAGTAGGGAATCGAATTCTGGTCTCCTGCATGCCACAACGAGCAAAGCGCCTAACCTCTACATCGCAAAAACCGGTTTTCATTTCATTGAAAAATTATGAATTAATTAATACTATCAAGATCAAGACAACAGAATTCGTAATAGATTTTGCCTGCGGGCTGTACATTTGTTGATGTGTCCAGGAGACCTGAGTGTGCTTTTCAGGTGGGGAGATATTTATCGAGGATTTTCGTCTTTCAGCTTGGGCTAATTCGTATTTTTAAAAGAACAATTATTAGAGGATTTACAGCTTGCACTTAAAGCATTAACCGTTGTCCTATTTCCATCAACACCACATCTTAACGTACGCCCATTAAACACAATCCAACAGACGGGTGAGATCTTTTGAGGCTCAACTGGTGACGTCTAGATACGGTCTTGCAAGGACATAATTATTTTATTTAAACTGAAATGTGTAGGCCGGGTGGTGTCGCTGTCTCGAAATGAGCAGTATGAAGGCCAGGTTATTAAAAATCATTTATTGATTGTAATGATTATGTGTGTGCGCCCAAAGCTTGCGGAGAAATTCAGAAAAAAATATTCTTATCACTGAACCAAAGTTCTTGGAAAAAACATTTTTGCTTGGTCACTAGCCTACATGAGTTCCACTATCTATCTATCTATCTATCTATCTATCTATCTATCTATCTATCTATCTATCTATCTATCTATCTATCTATCTATCTATCTATCTATCTATGTGTCTGTCTGTTTGTCTGTCTGTCTGTCTGTCTGTCTGTCTGTCTGTCTGTCTGTCTGTCTGTCTGTCTGTCTGTCTGTCTGTCTATAGTAAAGAATTTTAAAAGAATTATTGATATATGATGTTATTTTTGTTCATGGTATTATTGTTATTATTATCATTCTCATTAATATTATTATTATTATTATTATTATTATTATTATTATTATTATTATTATTATCATCATTATTATTATTATTATTATTATTACAACTCTATTGTTTCGATCTATTTCCAGGGCCAGCTACTCCAGCCAACAAACCCCTTACCTCCCCTTCCAGGCAAAGGCGCTGCCCTCTGACTCCTGGAACAATCGAGTGTCGGCTTTCTTCTCAGTCCACGAGAGACCGCCACCTCCTGCGCCGGACAAAAGTGCGCATGCGCAGAAAAATACCGCCGGAAGCTTGGAGAGTACTGATAAAACCAGCACGAGTGATACTAACAATAATGATAGTGTGAAAGGGGGAGGGGATGGTGGTGGTGGTGGTGGTGATGGTAAAGATAAAGGTTCAAATGTTGGAAATAGTAAAACTTTAGATAAGAATGATAATGGAGGAAACAAAGAGGAAGTGAATAATAGAGGTGAAATAAAGAAAGAGGGTGAAGAAAAAAATGGCGGCGCAAACGCAGCTGGGAATGGTGATGAGAACGAAAACAAGAACCAAAAGAACATTAAAGGGGAGACGAAACAAGAAAATCCCGTGAAAGGTAAAGAAGGAGAGAGGAAGAAGGGAGGTGGTGAAGAAAGGAAGGAGGAGAAAGAGGAAGAAACAGTAAAGGATGAGGATGATGATGGTTCTGCAGATCTGATAGACCCCTCGTCGTCATCTCCGGAGTCTGAGACGGAAGATCCTGATGCTGACCTCCCCTGGGTTCTGGAGCAGTACCAGGACGCGGACAAGGAAAGTCCAGGGCCTTTCACGGCGGTGAATATGACGGCTTACGTCAAGGTGAACTTTGGTTGTTAGGGGTTGAGAGAGGTTAATTGAGAGGGAGTATAGTGAGGTATCGTGGAGAAATCAGGCGCTCGTCAAGTAAATACTGAAATGGAAGACACTCAGGCATTTTCCCGCCGGTTTTGGCAATACTAACACATTTTTGGCTATAGCCTAAAATATCTTTTTATGTCTTTTTAAAAGCACATTTCTGTGTGGATTTTGCTGAAAAACGTTGATTAAGGCACAAAGAAGGTAAATTTTCCGTTTTCACAGACTCTCAAGCTAAAGAAATCACCAAACTAACTTTGGCGGCTATTCTCTCATTATTGATACCTCTGAAACCAGGTGACCCCCACCTCCTTCAATCGCAAATACACCGGTTTCTAGTTTCTATTCAAGATAAATGGGATTTTTTTTTATCAATCGATAGACAAATGAACACGCTTAAAGATGACATCAATAACTCAAGATGGCCAAAAATTGACGAGCGCCTGATTCCACGGTGCCATGACACAAGTGTTTAAGGCCATTGGCCCACACTACGTCATATTATAAAACACTCATTTGTTAAATAAAGTTTCGATAAACAAAAACAATACAGCTTGTGCACATACCTCGTCGCACGAGTCAAACATTGCATATTTCTGTCACTGGCTATTATTTTTATTATTATTAT